CCCTGAAGATGGAGGCGATACGTTCCTCCGAAACGTCGGTTAACACCACATATACACGGTGCCAAATCCCAGAAGACTGCTTTCTTCATAGTCACCGCCGTGAAAGCCTCAAATCTTACAAGATGGTTGTAGTTTTCAGAACGATAAAACGGCTGTCATGACTAGAATTTGATGTGTGAATCTTTTCAAAACACATTCTTTACTGCAAAGGAAGATTGTTTAGAAAAAGAAATATCAGATGAAAGTAATTTAATAGGTCTGTATCAACTACAAAGTTTATCTATAAACGTATATGTGAGGATAATGGCAAAGGAAGAAATTGTGGCCTGTTTTTTGAGGTACTGTTTCATGTTTGCTGTAAAGGACTGAAGAAAAATAAAAGAACATCAGTGAGGGTACTGAGGTATCTCCAGGGCATTACCATTTGAAGAATTAAACGTTTTTTATATAGAGAACTATGTATGTATTAAACATAATGTTTATTGTAAGATTTGAGGCTTTCACGGCGGTGACTATGAAGAAAGCAGTCTTCTGGGATTTGGCACCGTGTATATGTGGTGTTAACCGACGTTTCGGAGGAACGTATCGCCTCCATCTTCAGGGTAGAAGAAACAATATATAAGAATCTGCAAGCAAAGAGACCGTGAGAACCGGTAAAAGCAGACGTAAAGCTTTTACCGGTTCTCACGGTCTCTTTGCTTGCAGATTCTTATATATTTTTTCTTATACCCTGAAGATGTAAGCAGACAGTCTGCTTTTACCGGTTCTGACGGTCTCTTTGCTTGCAGATTCTTATATATTTTTTCTTATACCCTGAAGATGGAGGCGATACGTTCCTCCGAAACGTCGGTTAACACCACATATACACGGTGCCAAATCCCAGAAGACTGCTTTCTTCATAGTCACCGCCGTGAAAGCCTCAAATCTTACGTAGTGTTCCTCTATGGGGAGGCTTCTCAACGACACCAGTCTGCTTTTACCGGTTCTGACGGTCTCTTTGCTTGCAGATTCTTATATATTTTTTCTTATACCCTGAAGATGGAGGCAGACAGTCTGCTTTTACCGGTTCTGACGGTCTCTTTGCTTGCAGATTCTTATATATTTTTTCTTATACCCTGAAGATGGAGGCAGACAGTCTGCTTTTACCGGTTCTGACGGTCTCTTTGCTTGCAGATTCTTATATATTTTTTCTTATACCCTGAAGATGGAGGCAGACAGTCTGCTTTTACCGGTTCTGACGGTCTCTTTGCTTGCAGATTCTTATATATTTTTTCTTATACCCTGAAGATGGAGGCAGACAGTCTGCTTTTACCGGTTCTGACGGTCTCTTTGCTTGCAGATTCTTATATATTTTTTCTTATACCCTGAAGATGGAGGCAGACAGTCTGCTTTTACCGGTTCTGACGGTCTCTTTGCTTGCAGATTCTTATATATTTTTTCTTATACCCTGAAGATGGAGGCAGACAGTCTGCTTTTACCGGTTCTGACGGTCTCTTTGCTTGCAGATTCTTATATATTTTTTCTTATACCCTGAAGATGGAGGCGATACGTTCCTCCGAAACGTCGGTTAACGCCACATATACACGGTGCCAAATCCCAGAAGACTGCTTTCTTCATAATGTTTATTATCAGTTTATTAGTACCGTAGCTTTTTCTTATAGTTACTGTTTCACTTGTTGCTACTGATATAGCATTAGCATTAGCATTCCCTACTGTTTATCACCTCTGTAACAGTATTCGCTTAAAATGTGCCTGCTGACCTTGGGTTTCTAGTTGCATAGGTATTTCCTACATGCAGTTTTCCCTTGAGAGGACAGAGTACATTGGACTTTGTCCTAAGTTCTGTACAGGCATCTTTCTCCAGTTTTTTTGTATCCCCAGTAATAATACAGCACTTGACTGTAGTAAAACTGGCTAATAGCTCATATTATGAATCTGCTAACATAAGTTTAATTGTTGGTTTCATCCTTATTGTGAAAGTACCCATCAATAATGCAACAATATAAAAGACATCAAGAATAAGTCACTCACTAAAAATGTATTTTAATACTTTACAGTGTTAAAAATCATTAAAATGTCAATAGGACACTAAAAGTGTATTTTATACATTAAAAGTTTTACATTTTCTTTTTCCTAGTTTACGACATGTTTCGGCCGCACATGGGCCATCATCAGGTGACTTCTTTTTGCTTTTGGGAAGACCACTGCTCTGTACACTTGTCCACCATGCTTCCATGCACGTCAGTGTTTTAGTTCTATTTCATGACTAGAATGTTGTCATTGCACTCTTGTGGCTATCGTAGTTTTTGTGCATCACATTTCTCTTGTGTATGTGTTACTAGTGTGGTCTTCTTGTATGCCTCAATGCAACAGGATGCTTGCTTACTTCCTTACTTACTTTTGGAGCTGAGTCCTTCTTGAGGAGAAGCCAAATCTGCAGCTACTCAAGAATTTCCCAACATTATATGGAACCCGAAGGTTCATTACAGCCTTCACAAGAGCCCTCCCCTGGGCCGTATCCTGAGCCAGATCAGTCCAATCCATACCATCCCATCCTATCTCTCTAAGATACATTCTAATATTGTCCACCCACCTACGTCTTGGTCTTCCCTGCGGTCTCTTTCCTTCTGGCTTTCCCACCAATATCCTGTATGCATTCGCCTCCCCCATTCGTGCTAAATGACCTGCCCACCTCATCCTCCTTGACTTGATCATTCTAATTATACTTGGAGAAGAGTACAAGTTATGAAGCTCCTCATTATGCAGTTTTCTCCAACCTCCTGTTACTTCATTCATCTTTGGTCCAAATATTCTGAAAACCCAGTTCTCAAAAACCCTCAGTCTGTGTTCCTGCCTTAATGTCAGAGACCAAGTTTCGCACCCATACAGAACCACGGGCAAAATTATAGTTTTGTATATTCTAATTTTTATGTTTTAGAACAGCAGACAAGAAGACAAAAGGTTCTGGACTGAATGGCAGCAAGCATTACCTGAGCTCAATCTCCTCTTAATTTCCTCCTGAATCAGATTTTGATTTGTTATTGTTGTTCCCAAATATCTGAACTGTACCACATTTGCAAAACATCTGTTTTCTCTTGTTATGTTATGATTTTGCCCTGCATTTTGGTGATGAGAGAGCAACATATACTTAAGTTTTCTCTGTGTTTACTTCTAGACCAACCTCCTTATGTGCATCAATTAAAGTTTGTGTTTTTCTTTATGGTATCTATATTATCACCCAGTAAATTCACACCATCGACATAGACCAACAGCTGATGTGTCCCGTTTAATTTCGGTCCCACCTGGATTTCGTGGACCTTCCTAATGGCATATTATAAAGCAAAGTTGAAAAGGAGTGGCAATAAAGCATCTCCTTGTCTTAGACCATTCTGGCTAGGAAATTTATCAGACAAATGTTTACCTATACAGACTTTACTATAAGTTTCGTTTAAACACATTTTAATCAGCTTAACTAGTTTCATGGGTATCCCAAACTCTATCAGAATATTATACAATACTTCCCTCCTAACTGAATTACAGGCTTTCTTAACATTTACAAATAGCTGCTGTAGTGTTGGTTGTTATCAAATATATGTAATTTTTAAAATTACACTTTACCTTTTAGAGCGAGAAATTACAAAGCAGGACAGTTGCTTACTTCGCCATCCTTCTGAAAATCTCCGAGCATACCTACTTATGACACTAGCAGCACCACTTAATGGCCTAGGTCAGAAACTTGTTCACCAATTTTGTGACCTGTATGAGCATGCTCGGCATGATCCCAGTGAATTTGGGGATGAGGAGTATCAGGTTTACTCCAAACTGCTTTTGAAACTGCTGGATGCGTAAGTATGAGTTCAGTATAGAAATATCAATACGTCAGTATGGTAGAGCAAAGTACATAAATTATGACTGCTGTCATTTCAGGGCAAAGCTGCTGAAATCATATCCTAACAGCCGAAAGTCAAGCCCAAGTCGAACCCCTCTTAAAAGGGGCCAAGAAAAGTACCGCAGCTTTTTGGAAGCCAGACTGAGACCAGACGGGAAATTAGCAGATGATGAGGTGCTATGTGTGAATGAGAAAGATACAAGACCAGCTACTTTGTCAGTATCTGTTGATGAAAGTAATGAGACTTCTGTTTGACAAGTGGAGAGAGTTTGTGGTTTGGACACAACGCTTAAGGAATGCCAATACAATAATGTATATCCAGTTTACACAAATTATCTATAGCAGGAGGAAATGCAAAGAAGGTTAGTAAATATCTTGATAGGAGTTAATAAAATATGAATAAAGCTGCAATTGATACGATTCTTTTCAGAACGCAGAACTGCACTATAATGATTTTAAGGAGGAAAATGTGCTGTTATTTATTACTGTGTTGTATATGATGAAACTATTTATAGAATTTTTCATGAAATATTTGTGGGTCACTAATATGATGTTATACTACTCCATATGAGAACTGTTAATAAGATTCTATAGTTTAAAAAGAAGAATTCTAATTCTGTGAAGCAAATGAACTGTAGGAAATGAGAAAGTACTGTGTTTCTTCAGGATTTATGTATTCCTTTCATAACATTAAATCTTGTTACAAACCAAATAAAAGAAAATCTATATAGTTTCAGGATCTGTAAGTATGTAACATGATATAATGTTCATTGCTTCACTAACGGGTTGGTATGCATCTTATATCAGATAGCAGTGCACTCAAACAGATGAGTACCAATCAAGAAACATCATAAAATTCAGTTTAATGTTTAGTACAAACTACTTTTATGGTTGGTAGATTCTAAAGGGTTCTGACAATGGTGTATAACACTTGGAATTACTGGGTTTTTGTATTTTGCCCACCATCCGGTATTGTAAAAAATAGTAAATACAATGTTTCAGAAACTGGATCTGTTTCTGTCTTCAGGTTAAGGGGTGGGAGACACCTTCCCCATTGGGTCCATTAGAGTGACTGAGGTTAGGTCTTTCTAATGGATCTAACAGAGTAGGTGTCTCCCACCCCTTCACCTGAGTACAGAAAAAGATCCAGCTTCTGAAACATATTATTATTCCTTTGTGTTTTTTTTTTCTTTGGAATACCAGACGATAGACAAAGTCCAGTAATCCAGTAATTCTGTGTACTTTTATAGTTCCTACATTGTTTTCCAGTCATGTTACAATGGTAAGTTCTATATCAACTTTTAGATGGTGATCTTGTGTGTGTTATGAAACTGTATTCTGGTAGGTGGTTGCCAGCATTTTGGAGGGACCTGCTGTCTCCACCTTCATACCCTGAAGATGAAGGAATTAGGTTCCTCCAAAATGTTGGACCCAGCAGTCAGCTACATGATGTCATATCCCAGAAGACCACAGTCTAATTCTTCACCCCTCCAATCTCATACATATCTGAATTTCCTTCCCTGCTGTTACTGGAGCTTCATCCGTTTGCAGGAACGAATCACATCCACACTGGAAATGTCTCGAAATATCTGTCATGTTGTAGAGCCATTAAACCACAATGAAATGCATCAGCATACAACGGAGAAACAACACCGAGGTTCTGCACATGGCATAGCCATTCCATAACCTCAAAGAGAAAATATATATAATGCATTATTATACGCAATCCAATGAAGTAATATGTGTATGAAAGATCAAATTATCCATTCAGTCCCTATCTGGGGACCATATAGTCTCTTAGCTGTGATAAATGTGTTGTAAAATTATTGAAAGCAAAATGTTTTGATGTATTTTATAAGTTGTAAAAATAACAGAAGAAATACTGTATAGACTTTTTATATTAATTAAAATATACTGTAATAATGAATTTAATTTGTTATTTTGCAGCAAATTATCCTGTCCTTTGTAGGTTTCCCCTCATCCATATAAGTGCAATACATTGCTCTCTTTATTCCATTATTTATAAAGGTAATGAAGTTACGCAATATAAGATGACCGAAGATGAATCAGACAAGTGGTGGAAGAAAGTAGTGACAGTCTACTGCAGTTCTGTTAGGACACCTGACAAATATTAGAAGAGTTTAAGCTGATATATTAGCACAGTATCCCAAAACGTCATTATACAGGTTCACTATTACAATTTTTACTCCAAGCAGAGTAAGATAAAAGAGCTGGTCGCAGAAGGGTGGGTGTAAGAACCGAGAGAAGATTTGAAAAGTCACAGTGTCATTTACAGAACACTGGAATCAGAAGTGCATGATGAGTACCCTGTTACTAGTGGCAATGCAGTTCGGTACTACACTTTGTGCTATACTTCTGGTCAGAATAAGATGCAGAAGAGCTTCCTCACCATTACTCTGACATCTGAACTTTTTGCTAAATCCACGATCTAGCAATGAATGAATAAGGGGTGGGCCTTAACCATGACCATCGGTGATCTACCGTGTTTCCCACTATGTTCAGCCCCTAAGCAATTCTACACTTCAAATGAAGTGTAGTACCTTATGGGCATCTGGTTGCGTGAAGTAGTTTCTCACATTACAAAATCTGAAGTGGGCTATAGCCTCACAATGAGAGGATATGTGAGGTTGGTTCATCCTTCTCCAAGCACCTTCTGCAAGTGGTACTGTTGGTTAATGCCAATTTATAAAGGTGCCCTTTCAGGTGACAATGTCCTACAAGTAGTTCTGTAACCAATTGTAACTGGTTTCTATTTAGTTTCAGCAGTTCCCCAGTTTTTCTTCACACATGTGAATGCTGTTATGGACTCCAAATATTTTTTGTGGTCTCTGTTTGTCTAGTCCCTGAAGGCCTTCTTGGCAACCCCTGCTGACAAGGCCATTTTCCACATACATCATGTTGTAAACTGCCTCAATTGCAGGAGTTGGGGCAGCAAGAAGCCACATGCCCTAATGAAGCATGTTTGCAACAGCCAAGGTCAAAGTGACATGCAGCATCATATCAGACCAAATTGTTGGATCCTGCTTCTTCCATGAGAGTACCGTTACACGTGCAGTTTACCTGGATATGCTAGAGAACTTTGTGTTCCCACAGATAGTAGCTGAAATTGACAGCCTCATTTTCCAAAAAGGTGATGCAACATTGCATTTTGGTGCTACTGTAACCACTGCTCCGGATGAATGATTTTCTGGTCTGTAGACTGGCATGGGAGGGCCAATTAATTTGCCCCTATGAAGTCCTGACTGAACACCCACAGACTACTTTTTCTGAGGGTACATGAAAGACATGTACAGAAAAATGGTAGAGTCTCTTCCTAATTTTGCTGAAGGATTACAGCCACTATTGCTCCTGTGCCTCTGAATGTGCTATCTTGGTTGTAGGATGAAATGGAACTTCGTTTCCATATCCATACGGCCATCACTGGTCTTCACATTGAATTTAACTAAATGATAGTAGAACTTGGTGAGACTGTCTACTAGTTTTTGTTGATAAGAAATTTTCATGTTATAGCAGTGAATAAATATTTATAACTAGAACTGTGGAATTTTTTCTTGGACATTCTGTATTATCCATAAGTTTTCTAATTTTATTTATAATGCCCATAAAATAAATTTATGAAAATAAGGTTCAGGAAAGCCAAGGAACATACAGGAAGCCAGAACTGGCTACGTCCTACTTCATGAAGTAGAAGATGCAATATTATTATATCTGCTAATTAAGTTAGAGGGTGCATGTAGAAAGTGAAAAACGAAATAAGGAAACAACATGCAAATAATGAGATAAAAGAATTGGAAACTCATAACAGAAAAGTATTTTTAAACATTATTATCACCTTTGATCTGCACTGAACTGCTCTACTATACAACTTTTTGTGTGTGCGTGCATAAGTGTTGACTCTAGTTTTACCCAAGATTTAAAATTGGCAGATGGCATTTGCACAGTTGGCATGATTGTTTGCTGTATTGTATTGTATTGTAGGGTTGCCAGATTTTGTAAAATAAAAAAAGGAGTGATGTCTCTTTGCTTGTTTATAACGACATTTTTCACAACTAATAGGCAATAAAATATACATAATCAACATACTACATAACTTACAAAATGCTACTACACATCTGTATTACATAGGCCTACTACACATTTATAGAACAAAACAAATATTACGTAGCCCTATTACATATTTATAGAATGCACAAAATGTTACCTAGCCCTCAAACATTTTTGCTAACTTGACACTGACTTTCTAGCGAAGATTGAACGGATTAAAAATACACTATCACCAACAACCTCTGCTTTGGTTTAGAACCTCAAGTGTTACCAACATTCACGAAATGCAACATAACGAAAGAAACTATAACAATGTCATTTTCCAAGGAGTAAAGAAATTTTATGATAATATTTAACCCATGAAATATAATTCGCAATGGACGTAATTAAAAAAAACGGAGAATTATCCACTCCAGTTAAACAATAAACGGAGCAACAAAATTTGGGTGAAAACACGGAAGAATCCGGGGAAAACGGGGTATCTGGGAACCCTATTGTATTGTATTTATTACACGTTCCAGCACATCCATACAAGGCCAAAGCCACTGGATACAGAACCTGTCACACCATAAGCTTGCTAAATCAGCCGGTAGTCAACAGAATAATGCATATAAACCCACAACAATAAATCAAGCATATGAAACCCTACACATCACTGCAACTACATGATCTACCATATGTATATAAAATATAAAACAAAAGTGAAACATATACATGACAATAATTAAAATAATGGGTCATAGCTAAACAAGAAACTATCCCTAATTAAAATATTCATCTAAAGAGTAATAGGATTTAGTATGTGAAAAAACATGCAAAGCTGCTCTAAATTGCTTAATATTATGGATTAACTCTTTTATATTTAAAGGAAGATGATTAAAAAGTTTAATACCAAAATAGTGAGGTCCTCTCTGGTAAGTTGTCAAATTTGTCTGCAGGCAATAAAGATCAAAATTACACCTAGTATTAAGGCCATGAATTTGTGAAGTCATGTGATATAAGCCCATATTATTCACAACAAACATCAATAAAGAAAATATATATTGGGACTGCAATGGCAAATTTCCCAAATCCCTAAATGCATCTCTACGAGAGTCCCTAAATCTCAACCCATTCATGGTTCTAATTATTCTCTTTTGAATTCTGAAAATGTGCACGCTATAAGAAAAATTGCCCCAAAAAATAATTCCATAGGACAAAAGTGAATGGAAATAAGAGTAATATACCATTTTTAATGTCTCTGTTGGCATAATTTGCTTACTTACTGATTGTCTGAATCTGTTTCCTTTTTGACTGCATTCGCTATTTATCCTAAGAGCTCCATTAGCCAGTGACTATTTGTTTCATACTGTTGAACACGTTATTACAGGTGCAATGTTATGCATCACACTAGTATGTTCCTGGCATAATTAGAATTTAATTCACCAAATCTTAGATTAGTTCTTAATGTATATCACCATGAGAAAACTGTTTTCTATGAAAAGAACTGGATTTATCAAATTAATAAGAATGGGAAAGCTGACTCCAGTATGGATTACATACATATATTTTCCAAATGCAGCCTATGCAGTTTTGTATACCATACTGATCTTGATATTCATTTACTGCAGAGCTTTGTAAAAAACAAAGGACTGTAGCCCTACTGTAGTCATGAATAATTTTTTCTTATATTTCATTAAATATAAATTACATATAAATAAGATTTTAATACCTTTGTACTATGCCATGAATAGTTTTTAATTTATTGCTATACAAGTGCTATTATAAATTTCCTGGACTAGGTCAAAAAGGAAATTCCGGCTTAATTTTGGTTGCCATGGCCTTCATAATAGTCTCTTTGTGAACGCATACAGCTAAACTGTCGGTTCTCCCCACCACCTCACCCCCACTCTTCAGAAGTACCATAGAAGTAATTTTCCTTGTGCTGTCGGGTATCGCTTGCTGTTCCCTTTGGATGTCAGACACTGTTTCAAAACGTCGTCCCTTCAGATTCATTTTCAATTTTGGAAACAAAGCGGAATCACAGGGCGATAATTCCGGCGAGTAGGGAGGATAGGGAACGATAACTATATTGCTGTTAGTCACAAACTCTGTATTTTTCAGGGACGTGTGAGCGGGCGCGTTATCATGATGAGCCAGCCGTGGTTGCGCCAAAGTTCCTATCTGTTTCGTCAAACATTTTCTCTCAAGCTTCTCAAAACGTCATAGTAAAATACAGAGTTGACCTAGTAGACCGTAGCGAATAGTCTTGTAATTGGTTCCGATGCGCGAACATGTGGAATCTCTCGTGAATAATTGAAATGATTTGTCAATACTTCGTGTAAGTAGTTTGGCCGTCTTCATAACTACCGCCCACAAATACGGAAAAGAATTTTGATCAACGAATCACAGACACGTTATTTCGAAGTGTTAGCTGAATCAGTGTTCAGTTTATCCGTGATCACGACGATCACGATCATCACGATTACAGTCATTGCCGGTCATTGCAGTTGCAGTAGCCAATCATACCAAGGAGACCTACCAGAAGTGACAATTGTCAAGTGTGTTTGGTGGAATTATATGTCAACATACATACAGAATGCTTGTAAAGTATGCCATAGTAATGTCCATAGCGTCAGTTGTTATTATGTTTTACTTACACGAGTATCATACATCAACATTCATTCAGTTCAGGAGTGTTTATGCACAGTTGTGTTCAACAGTAATTCATTTGCACACGGTGGTTTTAAAGTGGTTTAACATGGGATCGGACATAGATTTGCGAGGGAAACGGAAAGAAATGCTGTTTTCCAAGGAAAAGTTAAAGAAACACACGGACGGAAGCAAGGGTCTCTACCTGGCCATCCTTGGTAAGGTTTATGATGTTGGGAAGGGTGAAAAATTCTATGGACCGAGCGGCAGCTACCATTTCTTTACAGGTATGTAGGTACGCCCTGGTTTTGCTCTCAGTTGAATTGTGGTTATATCTGTTCTGTATTGTGATTGCTTATCATTTTCCAATTTTAAACTCACCATGCTGTGGTGTACATGTTTAGGCAGGTGAACGTACGTATTCAGGTTAGGATATAAGGAGAAGTTTCCGTTGGTCAGCAAATGTTATTCTATCAAGAGGTATGGGACCATTTTTGGTTAAATGATATGATTAACTCCCCTTTAAGCTCGTAATCATAGTTGTGGTGATCATTACTGAATAACAGACACAATGTCAAGAAACTTGTTTGCAGTACTATTAATTATTTACTAAAGTTCGATGCACATTTTATGCAGGTACTGTTAAATGAAAAATTAGTATTCTTCTCCAAGTATAATTAGAATGATCAAGTCATGGAGGATGAGGTGGGCAGTTCATGTAGCACGAATGGGGGAGACGAATGCATATGGGATATTGATGGGAAAGCCAGAAGGAAAGAGACCACAGGGAAGACCAAGGAGTAGGTGGGCGGATAATATTAGAATGGATCTTAGAGAGATAGGATTGGATGGATCTGACTCAGGATAGGGACCAGAGGAGGACTCTTGTGAACACGGTAATGAACCTTCGGGTTCCATAAAATGCTGGGAAATTCTTGAGTAGCTGCAGAATTGGCGGCTCCTCCAGAAGGACTCAGCTCCATGAGTAAGTATGTAAGTAAGTACTGTTAAATGAAAACCTGATTGAAAAGGAAATTAAGAGGAGATTGAATTTGGGTAATGCTTGCTACCATTAAGTCCAGAATTCACTTAATTCACTTAGTGGGGGGTGGAGTCCAACTGGGTCCACTCGGCAAGGCGGCCACTGATTGGCCTATTGTAGCCTGCCCCAGGTGATTATGATGATGGAGAATTTGGTGGAATGAAGATTGGCAGGGACAACCGAAGTGCCTGGAGAAAACCCGCCCCAACGCCACTTTGTGCACCACAAATCCCACTTGACCAGACCCGGGATCGAACCCGGGCCGCTGCACTGAAATGCCAGCGAATAACTGCTCCAGCTATGGCGCGGCCATTCAGTCCAGAACCTTTTGTCTTCTTGTCTGCTGTCCAAAAACATAAAAATTAGAATATACAAAACTAGAATTTTGTGTGTGGTTCTCTATGGGTGTGAAACTTGGTCTCTGACATGAAGGGAGGCACATAGACTGAGGGTGCTTGAGAACAGGGTGTTGTGGAGAATATTTGGAACGAAGAGAGATGGACTGACAGGAGATTGGAGAAAACTGCATAATGAGGAGCTTCATAACTTGTGCTCTTCTCGAAGTATAATTAGAATGGTCAAGTCAAGGAGGATGAGGTGGGCAGGGCATGTAGCATGAATGGGGGAGCTGAGGAATGCATATAGGATATTGGTGGGAAAGCCAGAAGGAAAGAGATCACTGGGAAGACCAAGGCGTAGGTAGGTGGAAATATTAAAATGGATCTTAGAGAGATAGGATGGGATGGATTTATCTGGCTCAGGATAGAGACCACTGGAGGGCTCTTGTGAACACGGTAATGAACCTTCAGGTTCCATAAAATGCTGGGAAATTTTTGGCTGCACAATTGGCAACTTCTCAAGAAGGGCTCAGCACCATAAGTAAGTACTGTTTGTAGTCAGGCTCTTATATCATTTGTCTTGCCAGCCTCAGAACATTTCAGCCCTCAATTATTTTTACCTTGTTATATTTTTTTTTTGTATTTTGCTAATGTGATTTAGTTACTCAAATGAGCAACAGTTATTCCATGTCAAACTGGAAAAAATCAAAATTCCACCTGACCCCTCAGATTTTAATTAAATTCGGTGAGGTACAACCATTCATACAGCTAAGTTATCACTCAAATTTTTTATAGGTGTAGTAATTGATTTCTTGATGTTTGAAGTGTATAATAACGTGAAATAATTCAGTTTAAAAAGCTTGTTTAATGCCTGTTATTATTATTATTACACCATGAAGTTTTAAGTTGGACTCGCATGGAAACAGTTGCCATAAAATCATATAGCTACACAGATAGCAATGAAGGCTATTATAAAAGATACAGAAAACTTTTTAACTTTGTAGATTGGTTCATAGCTCTGTGCTTGACGGTGACCAGTGCGCCTCTGGCAGTGAGGAAAATACGAATTTTACCGATGAATCAGCATGCCTGATGGTTGATAACATTTGGAGTGAAAGAACATAATTAACTTGTGGTCCACTTGATGGCATTATGTTTCATGGCAGGCAGTATGGTTCCTGCATGGGAGTTTATGATTTGTCAGTAGTAGGCAGCAGTTGTCAGTTCTATTAGCCACTTGTTTTCAGGTACAGTTAGTGAGCAGTGTGGTATGTCATGGTACAGTATACTTTATAGCAGTGTGTATTTCTCTATGACACCTATATGAAATACCGATCTGCTAGAAAATGTTGGTGAAAATTTTGATGTAAATTTCATGATGCAAGAGTTCCCAAGAGAGAAACAATTCACAATTCGGTGACTAAATCTAGAACAACAGGACTCTTAATAGACAAGTGCAGTTGCTTACTGAGGAGAAGTTAGATGACACAGGGGCCCCTATAAAAAAATAATCCATGCATGCCTTGCAGCTGCACGATCTAGCTAGTAGGGTTCATTTTTGCAGTTGGTTCCTACAGTCTATATTCAAACATGGGATCGATCTGCAATTGAAATTCTTTTTTGATGAAGTGTGGTTTCACTTGCAGGGATGCATAAATACGCAAAATAATTTGTACTGGAGTTCACAGAATCCACATCTAACCCATGACGTTTTGCTTCATCCAGTGAAAGTTGGTGTTTGGTTTGTTATAAGTGCAAGGATTAATACTATATCGTAGCATCCTGTTGCACCTCTGACTTATTGTCATTTTGTTTTACAGTCTTACGTGCAACAGTTTTTAACTTATTAAAAGTTAGTTACTTGACATTTTTTTTTTCATGTTTTTTGACCAATGTGGTCATCATCTGGTGTTAAAAGTTGTGGGCGAGGAAACTGCTGTCCTTCGCATTGGTGCTTAGTTGTTAATGTATGGTTCTTCCAGTTCGCATGTGTGTCTGTAATAAGTGTAAATTTTTGTATTAGAATTTATATTTGTGAAGTGTTTTGTATAATTTTACTTCTGTGTGTACTCACATTCCTTCCAGCTGTGTTCTCCATGTCTTGTTAACTGCTTGTTGAGTTGCTTTTTTGTTTTTCTTTCTTGTATTGCTTTGAATATTGGGTTAAAGGTGTTGATGTGTGCCTTGTCCATTTGTAGTCCCTTTTTACTCATTATATATACTATGTATATACACACACACACACAGAGTATAATATGCAATTTTTCCAGCGTATTTAGGTGTTTTCCCTTCTTCTTTATTTTTATAACTTGCACAGTATTAGTTATGCTTCCACATGCATGCACCATTTTTAATATATGACTGGAATAGTCGACAAACAATATAACAAATAAATGGAAGGATTAGCTCCCACTTCCAATATATTGGCCAAAGTATACATCCAACATACAGAACAGAAACAGTTGTATCCAATCTCAAAAGAAGACCAAATAATTGGATATTTTAGATATAAAGACAACAGTCTCATAATATACAACTGAAACAAAACAAATGTAGGTGAAACATTAACAGAATTCAATAAACAAAGTACCAGTATAAAATTTATTATCAAGAAAGAACAACACAACTCCATCAGTTTCCTGAATTCTACAATATGTTGAAAGGGAACAAACCTAGAATTTGAGATATATAGAAAACCTACACAAACAGATACCATAATACCAAATGACTCATGCCACCCACATTAGCATAAAATAGCAATCATTAACCACGTAATGAACAGAGTGGGTACTTATCCAATAACAAGTGATGCAAAAACAAAGGAACTAGATATTATGCAAGACATGTTATATAATAATGAGTATAAAAACTTAGGCATATGTCACTCAAAATACCACAAACACAACAAAAACAGAGGCCTACAACACCAAACAACAAAATGGGCCATTTTTACATATTGGGGAAAAGAGACAAAGAATATCACAAAACTTTCTGAAGATACACAAATAAAAGTCACATTCCAAACTAAAAACATGATACAGAACCTATTAAAACCTCGTCTGCAAATTGATAAGTATGAAAAAATTGGTGTATACCAAGTGAAATGTATGGATTTCCCACTAAAACACAGGGTGGTTGGGCCACACATTCCAGACAAGATATAGAGAATCCACACAAGCAATAAGGAATAACAGTGGCAACTCAGGATATTCAAGTCATATAGGAAATACAGGATATGCATATGGAAGAAAAACCAATATTATGAAAGTTACACAAATAGAGGAGAAGGGAAAACACCTAAATACACTGGAAAAATTCCATATATACGAGGGGGTACCCAAAAGAAACCGAACTTATTTTTTTTTAAACTTATTTATTCAGGTTTTAAGCACAAACCTTCAATCGCCTTCAAAGTACTCTCCACTTACACTAACTAGTACACTTGTCTAGTCTTTTATTCCATTTTTCAAAACATTGTCTAAATTCATCTTTTGAGATGCTTGACAGCGCCTACGTCGTTTTTTCCTTCACCTAAGCAACATCAGCAAAACGCTTTCCTTTCATGTCTCTTTTCATTCGAGGAAACAAAAAAAAAAGTCGCACGGGGCAAGTTCAGGTGAGTATGGAGGGTGAGGAACAGGGGTCATACCATTTTTGGTCAAGAATTGTCATGCAGACAGGGCTGTGTGAGCAGGGGCATTGTCATGATGGAAAAACCAGTCACCCGACTGCCACAAATCTGGCCGCTTCCGCCGCAAACTGTTGCGCAATCTTTTCAAAACTTCCAAGTAGAAAGCCTGGTTAACTGTCTGACCCTGCGGAACAAACTCTGAATGGACGACTCNAAAGTGGTTTAACATGGGATCGGACATAGATTTGCGAGGGAAACGGAAAGAAATGCTGTTTTCCAAGGAAAAGTTAAAGAAACACACGGACGGAAGCAAGGGTCTCTACCTGGCCATCCTTGGTAAGGTTTATGATGTTGGGAAGGGTGAAAAATTCTATGGACCGAGCGGCAGCTACCATTTCTTTACAGGTATGTAGGTACGCCCTGGTTTTGCTCTCAGTTGAATTGTGGTTATATCTGTTCTGTATTGTGATTGCTTATCATTTTCCAATTTTAAACTCACCATGCTGTGGTGTACATGTTTAGGCAGGTGAACGTACGTATTCAGGTTAGGATATAAGGAGAAGTTTCCGTTGGTCAGCAAATGTTATTCTATCAAGAGGTATGGGACCATTTTTGGTTAAATGATATGATTAACTCCCCTTTAAGCTCGTAATCATAGTTGTGGTGATCATTACTGAATAACAGACACAATGTCAAGAAACTTGTTTGCAGTACTATTAATTATTTACTAAAGTTCGATGCACATTTTATGCAGGTACTGTTAAATGAAAAATTAGTATTCTTCTCCAAGTATAATTAGAATGATCAAGTCATGGAGGATGAGGTGGGCAGTTCATGTAGCACGAATGGGGGAGACGAATGCATATGGGATATTGATGGGAAAGCCAGAAGGAAAGAGACCACAGGGAAGACCAAGGAGTAGGTGGGCGGATAATATTAGAATGGATCTTAGAGAGATAGGATTGGATGGATCTGACTCAGGATAGGGACCAGAGGAGGACTCTTGTGAACACGGTAATGAACCTTCGGGTTCCATAAAATGCTGGGAAATTCTTGAGTAGCTGCAGAATTGGCGGCTCCTCCAGAAGGACTCAGCTCCATGAGTAAGTATGTAAGTAAGTACTGTTAAATGAAAACCTGATTGAAAAGGAAATTAAGAGGAGATTGAATTTGGGTAATGCTTGCTACCATTAAGTCCAGAATTCACTTAATTCACTTAGTGGGGGGTGGAGTCCAACTGGGTCCACTCGGCAAGGCGGCCACTGATTGGCCTATTGTAGCCTGCCCCAGGTGATTATGATGATGGAGAATTTGGTGGAATGAAGATTGGCAGGGACAACCGAAGTGCCTGGAGAAAACCCGCCCCAACGCCACTTTGTGCACCACAAATCCCACTTGACCAGACCCGGGATCGAACCCGGGCCGCTGCACTGAAATGCCAGCGAATAACTGCTCCAGCTATGGCGCGGCCATTCAGTCCAGAACCTTTTGTCTTCTTGTCTGCTGTCCAAAAACATAAAAATTAGAATATACAAAACTAGAATTTTGTGTGTGGTTCTCTATGGGTGTGAAACTTGGTCTCTGACATGAAGGGAGGCACATAGACTGAGGGTGCTTGAGAACAGGGTGTTGTGGAGAATATTTGGAACGAAGAGAGATGGACTGACAGGAGATTGGAGAAAACTGCATAATGAGGAGCTTCATAACTTGTGCTCTTCTCGAAGTATAATTAGAATGGTCAAGTCAAGGAGGATGAGGTGGGCAGGGCATGTAGCATGAATGGGGGAGCTGAGGAATGCATATAGGATATTGGTGGGAAAGCCAGAAGGAAAGAGATCACTGGGAAGACCAAGGCGTAGGTAGGTGGAAATATTAAAATGGATCTTAGAGAGATAGGATGGGATGGATTTATCTGGCTCAGGATAGAGACCACTGGAGGGCTCTTGTGAACACGGTAATGAACCTTCAGGTTCCATAAAATGCTGGGAAATTTTTGGCTGCACAATTGGCAACTTCTCAAGAAGGGCTCAGCACCATAAGTAAGTACTGTTTGTAGTCAGGCTCTTATATCATTTGTCTTGCCAGCCTCAGAACATTTCAGCCCTCAATTATTTTTACCTTGTTATATTTTTTTTTTGTATTTTGCTAATGTGATTTAGTTACTCAAATGAGCAACAGTTATTCCATGTCAAACTGGAAAAAATCAAAATTCCACCTGACCCCTCAGATTTTAATTAAATTCGGTGAGGTACAACCATTCATACAGCTAAGTTATCACTCAAATTTTTTATAGGTGTAGTAATTGATTTCTTGATGTTTGAAGTGTATAATAACGTGAAATAATTCAGTTTAAAAAGCTTGTTTAATGCCTGTTATTATTATTATTACACCATGAAGTTTTAAGTTGGACTCGCATGGAAACAGTTGCCATAAAATCATATAGCTACACAGATAGCAATGAAGGCTATTATAAAAGATACAGAAAACTTTTTAACTTTGTAGATTGGTTCATAGCTCTGTGCTTGACGGTGACCAGTGCGCCTCTGGCAGTGAGGAAAATACGAATTTTACCGATGAATCAGCATGCCTGATGGTTGATAACATTTGGAGTGAAAGAACATAATTAACTTGTGGTCCACTTGATGGCATTATGTTTCATGGCAGGCAGTATGGTTCCTGCATGGGAGTTTATGATTTGTCAGTAGTAGGCAGCAGTTGTCAGTTCTATTAGCCACTTGTTTTCAGGTACAGTTAGTGAGCAGTGTGGTATGTCATGGTACAGTATACTTTATAGCAGTGTGTATTTCTCTATGACACCTATATGAAATACCGATCTGCTAGAAAATGTTGGTGAAAATTTTGATGTAAATTTCATGATGCAAGAGTTCCCAAGAGAGAAACAATTCACAATTCGGTGACTAAATCTAGAACAACAGGACTCTTAATAGACAAGTGCAGTTGCTTACTGAGGAGAAGTTAGATGACACAGGGGCCCCTATAAAAAAATAATCCATGCATGCCTTGCAGCTGCACGATCTAGCTAGTAGGGTTCATTTTTGCAGTTGGTTCCTACAGTCTATATTCAAACATGGGATCGATCTGCAATTGAAATTCTTTTTTGATGAAGTGTGGTTTCACTTGCAGGGATGCATAAATACGCAAAATAATTTGTACTGGAGTTCACAGAATCCACATCTAACCCATGACGTTTTGCTTCATCCAGTGAAAGTTGGTGTTTGGTTTGTTATAAGTGCAAGGATTAATACTATATCGTAGCATCCTGTTGCACCTCTGACTTATTGTCATTTTGTTTTACAGTCTTACGTGCAACAGTTTTTAACTTATTAAAAGTTAGTTACTTGACATTTTTTTTTTCATGTTTTTTGACCAATGTGGTCATCATCTGGTGTTAAAAGTTGTGGGCGAGGAAACTGCTGTCCTTCGCATTGGTGCTTAGTTGTTAATGTATGGTTCTTCCAGTTCGCATGTGTGTCTGTAATAAGTGTAAATTTTTGTATTAGAATTTATATTTGTGAAGTGTTTTGTATAATTTTACTTCTGTGTGTACTCACATTCCTTCCAGCTGTGTTCTCCATGTCTTGTTAACTGCTTGTTGAGTTGCTTTTTTGTTTTTCTTTCTTGTATTGCTTTGAATATTGGGTTAAAGGTGTTGATGTGTGCCTTGTCCATTTGTAGTCCCTTTTTACTCATTATATATACTATGTATATACACACACACACACAGAGTATAATATGCAATTTTTCCAGCGTATTTAGGTGTTTTCCCTTCTTCTTTATTTTTATAACTTGCACAGTATTAGTTATGCTTCCACATGCATGCACCATTTTTAATATATGACTGGAATAGTCGACAAACAATATAACAAATAAATGGAAGGATTAGCTCCCACTTCCAATATATTGGCCAAAGTATACATCCAACATACAGAACAGAAACAGTTGTATCCAATCTCAAAAGAAGACCAAATAATTGGATATTTTAGATATAAAGACAACAGTCTCATAATATACAACTGAAACAAAACAAATGTAGGTGAAACATTAACAGAATTCAATAAACAAAGTACCAGTATAAAATTTATTATCAAGAAAGAACAACACAACTCCATCAGTTTCCTGAATTCTACAATATGTTGAAAGGGAACAAACCTAGAATTTGAGATATATAGAAAACCTACACAAACAGATACCATAATACCAAATGACTCATGCCACCCACATTAGCATAAAATAGCAATCATTAACCACGTAATGAACAGAGTGGGTACTTATCCAATAACAAGTGATGCAAAAACAAAGGAACTAGATATTATGCAAGACATGTTATATAATAATGAGTATAAAAACTTAGGCATATGTCACTCAAAATACCACAAACACAACAAAAACAGAGGCCTACAACACCAAACAACAAAATGGGCCATTTTTACATATTGGGGAAAAGAGACAAAGAATATCACAAAACTTTCTGAAGATACACAAATAAAAGTCACATTCCAAACTAAAAACATGATACAGAACCTATTAAAACCTCGTCTGCAAATTGATAAGTATGAAAAAATTGGTGTATACCAAGTGAAATGTATGGATTTCCCACTAAAACACAGGGTGGTTGGGCCACACATTCCAGACAAGATATAGAGAATCCACACAAGCAATAAGGAATAACAGTGGCAACTCAGGATATTCAAGTCATATAGGAAATACAGGATATGCATATGGAAGAAAAACCAATATTATGAAAGTTACACAAATAGAGGAGAAGGGAAAACACCTAAATACACTGGAAAAATTCCATATATACGAGGGGGTACCCAAAAGAAACCGAACTTATTTTTTTTTAAACTTATTTATTCAGGTTTTAAGCACAAACCTTCAATCGCCTTCAAAGTACTCTCCACTTACACTAACTAGTACACTTGTCTAGTCTTTTATTCCATTTTTCAAAACATTGTCTAAATTCATCTTTTGAGATGCTTGACAGCGCCTACGTCGTTTTTTCCTTCACCTAAGCAACATCAGCAAAACGCTTTCCTTTCATGTCTCTTTTCATTCGAGGAAACAAAAAAAAAAGTCGCACGGGGCAAGTTCAGGTGAGTATGGAGGGTGAGGAACAGGGGTCATACCATTTTTGGTCAAGAATTGTCATGCAGACAGGGCTGTGTGAGCAGGGGCATTGTCATGATGGAAAAACCAGTCACCCGACTGCCACAAATCTGGCCGCTTCCGCCGCAAACTGTTGCGCAATCTTTTCAAAACTTCCAAGTAGAAAGCCTGGTTAACTGTCTGACCCTGCGGAACAAACTCTGAATGGAC